ACGTGGGTTTTGGGTCGCAGTTTGGGCACTCGGTCTCTAAAAGGTTCACCATCACTGATCTAGTACATGCATTTGATTTTGACTGCTGAAACTTAAGCTTGCACTTGGGTAATAGAAATGAGATTTTGCTCACCTGTGGATCTTTTGCCAGCTGTTTGAGAACACCTTTTTAAAAATCTTGGTATCATTTGACCTTCAGTGCATTTGGGTAACCTTTTTCTGTCAAAGTTTATCAACTTGTAATTTGTTTATGCTGATGAAGGATGAATACTGCAGGAAGGGATTTACCTGGGAGAAGGGGATTGGCTGAGGCATGGCCACTGAGATTGTTTTTGTTTCTGGGACTAAGACGATCAAGCTGTTCGCTCAGCTTCTGCTCTTGGAAATGAGTTTCGGGACAAGAAGCAAAGGGCTTCACAGCTGTTGTAGAATCCAAACAGAAGCAGGGAAATGAAGCTACATTTTTTTAACCCTAATTTATAAATAATAGAATTGCTGGGAGCTCACTGCAGGTATCATTGCTGTAATGTGGCCACTAGCGATGCCGATGTGTTGTTGATCAAAGATGTGGCCAGAGCTCATCATTTCTCTCCGATTTTGCCTCTTTTCAGGTAGGTTTTGCTGCTCCTCCACACTCTCCAAAAGTAGCTAAAACATTTATCTAAGCTCTGCATTCCTGTCCTTCCATAGACTACATTCAAGTAGGCACCTGCCCAGGAAGACCCTAGAGGCAAAGAGTCTGAATCTTTGACTTTTCCAAATCAATAGGGGGAGAAATTCAGCTGAGCTTCAGAGTGACAAACGTTCGCATAAACTGTTCAATATGGTGTTGAATAGCAACTTCTGCTGCAGAACATCTAGAATGTATGTTGCAGTGCTGAGCGTGGTGACCCCAGACTTCAGAAAGAGAGAACGTGCAACTTAGCTAATAGAGTGGTATATATTTTCAACACTACAGAAATTTCAAAGGGAAAAAAAAACCCTATAGTGCTTTTACCAAAAGACTTCTGGGGTGAGAAGGACCATGTATGTGGGAACAACAGTACATATTTTAAAGGATAAAAGGAGGTCAAAAAAGCAAAACTAAAAAGGCTGTTCTCTTCCTTAAGTGATGATAAGGATGCTAGAATGTGCATACAAATGTGGGTGAACAGAGATCTTAAACATAGGGGAGGTGTGTCTAAGACAGTATGTATGTTACAGTGGTGTACAGTGTGTTGTGTTTGGGTAGAGTGCTGGACTAGGAAGCCCTGGGTTCAAATCTCTGTCTGCCCAGAAGATCACTGGATGGCCTGGGGCCTTACAGTCACAGATCTGTAGGTAGGGTTCTGCACAGCATCAAACCCATCAATTTGGCATGCGTATGGGCACATGGATTCACTCACAGGAGTCTGGCAGCCCTAGCTTTTCTGTGCACATTCCCTTGTTTTCCCAGTTTTCTGTTGGCACTCATGTAAGCCATTCTGGCTGTCCAAGCTGGCTGTCGCAACATTGCTATTCAATTTGATATTGTTTTATTTGATGCTTGGAGGCTTTTGAATGGAGGAAGGAACTGCGTGTGGGAGTGGGGGGGGGAATCAAGCCCAGTTTGTTTGAGATCATGAATCAGATGCTCACTTCCATGCTCGGTCTTATCTTTCAGTCATTTCTATTCTCAGCCTAATTTATATAAAAAGATTATGCAAATTCTGACAATCTAAGGCACTTTTGATCTCAGTCCAACACAACTATATTTTATTACAGCTTTCACAAGTTATGAATCACTAATCCAAATCCCATCCACCACATATTTTCACCTTCCAGTCCCTTGCTTCTGTAGACATAAGCAGGCAACAAGCTTCCCGCCCTCACTGAGTCACTGGTACATTGTTATGGGGAGGGGAATTTCTTTTTTCAGAGTTCACTAGATTGATTCCTCTTATTCTCTTTGTTCTGTTTTTTTTTAAATAGGGAAATCAATGAGCCCTTTTTGTAACTTCAGCACTTGCACATGTAGCAGGAGGCTAGGAGGGCTTGGGAAGACACTGCTTGCCTCTGAGCATCTACAATCCTGAAATTTTGCAGAACTTAATTTCCTGCCCCTCCTCTCTTCAAATACCTGTTCGATCAAAATGAAGATGATTAAAAACAGATTTCCAATTTAGCAAAAATGAAACAGATTGCTGGATTTCAGGAAGAAATTGGGTAAAGGTGTTAAGAGAATTTCTATCAAAAATTATGATCTGGATCCTGACTACATTTTCCAGCGACAGAATGGAGCTTTCCTGCCTTCTTCCTCCCGCAGCAGCCCACAAAATGCTCTCCAGAAAATGCTGTTCCTGAGTGGGAGGGGGCCATGAGGAATGGCTTGTGGGGGGGGGTTCTGTGGGAAGGGGGAATGGCTGGAAATTGGTTCCTTGGGAAGGGGGAATTGGTGGAAATTGCCAGTTTAATCTGGATCCAACCCTATGACATCATGAGGTGCTAAATGTTATCAGTTTAAAAGTCCCTGTATGATAAATAAATATTAATACTTATGGAATGGACACTGAAAATATAATGTGGCAATGGGTAGCAGTCTCAGGCTGGGGTGATTCAACTTTTTTTTTTCTTGTTTTGGGGCCCCTCATATTGTGAGGTCCTAAAATGTAGTTTCTCTAGCTTATTGCTAATCTATCTCTATCCATATGTATCAGTTCGGGCTTGATGCATCAGCACTTGGGCCGGCTGAGTTTCTCTTCTGATCTTTTATTGTTTTACTATTCACAAGAAAGCAACAGGTTCTATAACAGGAGTGGCTAAATCAAGCTGTTCTGTCTCTTGCAGTGCAATCTGTCACTCGAATATAAACATTGATTTTGAAAGCTGGGCTTCAGCTGCAGTAACAGCATAGGAGCACATCGATAGTTACTGAGTGAGGGCTGCTGCCTTCCATTTGCAGCACCCATGCTACAGACACATGAAGCTGTCTCATACAGAGTCAGACCACTGCCTACTTTGACTGGCAGCAGCTCTCCAGGAACTCCGGCAGAGATCTTTCACATGGCCTGCTACCTGATCCTTGTACCTGGAGATGGCAGGGATAGGACCTGGAGCCTTTGGCATGCAAAACAGAGGCTCTTCTTCTGAGCCACAGCCTCATTGTCAGGTGGCCCTGTCATAGTTCTGGAATGTGGAGGGATACCCTCCCTCTCGTTCTCAGCTCTATCCTGCTCAGCTACTGTGTGCTATCTTATGCTTGACCTTGTAGATGTTCCAGCTGCAGTTTCCACGGCTGGGAAAGTTAATGGCTTTTCTGCTATGCCTGCTTGCTTTGCTGTGCGCATGAGATATATCCATTGGTTCATGCTTACAAGGGGAATGTTTGATTTCACTATAAGTCAGAGGCCCTAGTACTGATGGCCATTCCTGACACAAGCTGTACGTGTGTTATTTAGTACTGGATCCACTAATAAACAGTTATCTTCTTATGAAGCCCTGTGTGGTGTGACCTGACTAAGGAGCCTGACACTCATATCTGTCACTGGAAAGAGCTCAAGTGATAGTCATCTAGGGTTGCCAACTCTGGGTTAGGAAATTCCTGGAGATTTGGGGGTGGAGCCTGGGGAGGGTGAAGTTTGAGGAAGGGAGGGAGCTCAGCAGGAATATATTGCTATAGAGATAGTTGTAATTCCAGAAGATCTTATTCTGATGAAATATTGTTATGACTTCCCCATCTACAAGATCTTGCAGTCAGGGCTTTTTTGTGTGTGTGATGGTACCCACTGGTACTGAGGACCAGCTCCTTTTTTCAGGATTCTCACACGTCCTGAACCTCATGCATCAGCCCAGCCCTCTCAGCCAGAGAGAGTGGATCCTCAGGAAACCTAATGGGGATCTGCAGAGGAAGGGGGATTGTTTAAAATTGGTGAGACCTTATATATGAGTACTGGCACTTAAAAAGAAAAGAAAAGCACTGCTTATGGTGAACCCAAACACAGTACTAAAAGTTGTCACCCTGAATGACCTGCCATTAAACTGAACTATTCATAGTCTGTGGGACACCAGCCAGAATTCTCCTTTTAAAAATATAAGAGAAGAAAGGAGGGCCTACGATACTGATGGGGGGTGAATCCCATATCACCCCATTGCTGAGCCAGCAAGGCTCCAGACCCCACCACCCAACAGTGAGCATGGCAGCCAACATCCACTGCCACCGCGCCTGGGCCAGCAGCAGCTGCTGGTATCTGCTGCTGCAGTGTTGAACCTGGAGTGGCTACCAGAATCCACTGCCACACTCAGGCCCAGAACGGCTGCTGGCATCCTCATTTCTCGATGCTGGGCCCTCAGTGGCTCCCGGCATCCTCTGCTGCGGTTGGGCCTGCAGTAGCTGCCAGCATCCTCCACCACTGGGCCTAGAGCAGCAGCCAGCATCCTCTTCCACTGTGGCAGCCCACTGAAGCGGTTTCCTTACGTGCCTTGTCTGTGCATGTGCAGACAACACAATTTTATTTTTTAGGGATTTAAACCCCCTTATCTATTTTATTTTTGTTTTAAGATTTTTCTGCAAACCTTGTGAGTGCCCCAAGTGTGCAAAAAATATGTTGAGCCTCTGCGTGGCCCCAATCCACAGATTTAGCTATCCTCAGAGGAGGGTCACACGTGGCTAATAGTATATCCATTATTTCCATCCCACAATTTTTGGATCACAATTGGTACAATCCTGTAATCCCCATCCCTTATTTCCAGTTTCTGTCTTATCTGCCCAAATTAATAAGTAATGGGCAGTGGCTATAGTGCTGGGTTTGGACAGGTGGACCTGGATTCAAGTTAAATCTAATTGAACACTCAGTCATGACTGTCAGTAGATGACTCTGGGGAAGTCATAATTTCTCACTTCTTTCTCACTTCAGTGATGATCAATCAGTGAAGCTCTTCCCTAAATACATATGTGCATGTATTTGAGTAATCCATAAGTTTCTTTCCAGGTTTCCTTGACTGTACTGGTTTCAAGTCTTCTTGTTTTGTTTGTTTCTATGCAGGAGCAAGGCAAGATCGGTGTGGTCTTCAACATTGGCACTGTAGATATCTCCATCAAAGAAGAGAGCACCCCCGTGAATGATGGCAAATATCATGTTGTGCGCTTTACACGAAACGGTGGCAATGCAACGCTTCAGGTGGATGGATGGCCAGTGAACGAACATTATCCTTCAGGTAAATGTCTGAATGGGAATTCTGCCTCTCTTAAACCAACTGCTAACCTTACCCTTTAAAAATAGGAACTACTTTAGTGAATTGGTGAGTAGTGGACAAACGTTCACAGTTCCATCTGCAGGAATGAAGAGCAGAACTGACTCTGGTTCAATGTAAGGAAGCTGAATTCATGTTCACTGTGTTGGCAAACAAGGTATTATGCTCAGTGTCCCTTGTTCAGGAAGAGGCATGGTGTGCAAAAGAGATGTATGTTGTTTGTAAGCAACCATGCCGATCGTGTTTGGGAGCCTCTGGGTATAATCTGATTCTGCAGAGAGTGAACAGACTGCAACCCACAATTGGCACACTTTGGAGTAGTCCTGTCATTTTTCATGGAAAGTGAGGGAGAATCCTTTGAAGTACATTGTTGTGTAGTACAGCCAAAATGATTCAGCAACCTTTTTAATTTTATGGCTTTCATGATTGAAAATTGGTTGAGTGAACAGACTGCAACCCACAATTGGCACACTTTGGAGTAGTCCTGTCATTTTTCATGGAAGGTGAGGGAGAATCCTTTGAAGTACATTGTTGTGGAGTTCAGCCAAAATGATTCAGCAACCTTTTTAATTTTATGGCTTTCATAATTGAAAATTGGTTGAGACACAGAGAGGGAGGGAAGGAGGGGCTGCAACCCCCATGGTATAAAGCTCACAGGATCATGGCTATTTTGGATTATGAGTAAATGGTTGTTCTTTTTCTTTCTCCTAAAGACAGCTACCTCTTAGGGAATTGCAATCACTTGTTTATTTGACTTAGAGTATCTATTCCCTGCTTTGCTCTCCGGAAGGACCCAAAGCAGCTTACAGCAGTATAAAAATACAATCAAATACAATTTAAATAAAACAAAACATAACAAACTGTATCTTGGGCCAGTTCTGGATCTAATGGGTCAGCTCATTTAAGGTGACAGGATATGAGTCAATGGGCTAAGAACAAACAGCTGTTTGGCTCTTGCCTTTTGGCCACCTCCAAGGGTTCACTCCTCTAGCCACACCCAAACTTTATTCCTGGAGAAAGAAGAAACAAACAGAAGCACAGGTCAGATGTTACAGATTGCAGCAATGGTCTTCCCAGGCTTCCCTCCCTTCTCATAACTGTACTCTTTGTTGGGAATTTGTATATCCCTAACTTCAGTGGGAAACAGATACAGAAGGCAGTTGTGCCTGACAATGTTAGAATGAAACCAGACATTATATCTGATAGCAGCCGGGTTGCTAGTGTTCTGCTGGGGAAGGGTGGGAGCCTCCCAGTGGTCTTTGGATCTGCGGCTCAGGATTAATGGCCAGGGTGCCATTCCCCTCCTTTCTGCAGTCACTGAACATTTTCTGCCTATACATTGAGATTCTGTATTATTAATTTTCGTCTCCAATCAACTAGTTGGTTAACCGATTGAAATAGCACAGCTGACTGGTTAAACAAAACAGTTTAAGGGGTTGACACTGCTAAAGGAAGAACTGGTGAAATCGTAAACAATGAATAGATCTTCTGTTTTTACTAGTAAGTATACCCTTTTGTCTCCCTTCATAATTTGTGTTCATGGTTGAAAACCAAAGGAGTAGGCAATACAATGAAGAGTAGGTTAAAATAAGTGGTCTTAGAAAGGAGTAACTCTGCTTAGGATGGCACTGTAAAACTTCAGTGTGTGTTATGCAGTTTCTGGCAGTGTAGCACTACATTCCTAAGCAAAGCTATATCCATCTAAGCCTATTCAATGAACTTAGAAGGGTCTAACTCTGCTTAGGATAGCACTATAGGATTAATTCATGATCCACTAAATGTTGTTATGGCGTTTGGAAGAAGTGTATAAAAGTTGCTGTGTCGTATTTCCTCTGTAATTACTGGCAGTGTAGCACTACATTCCTAAGCAGAGCTATATCCATCTAAGCCCATTCAATGAACTTAGAAGGGTCTAACTGCTTAGGATAGCACTGTAGGATTAATTCATGATCCACTAAATGTCGTTATGGCATTTGGAAGAAGTGTATAAAAGTTGCTGTGTCGTATTTCCTCTGTAATTAAAACAGAGTAATTTGGTAGTGGGTTTTCTACAAAGCCATGCTCTTGGTTGACCCTCCAAAGTTGCACTGCATCCATTGACGTCAGTGGTCTTCAACAGCTGTAACTCTGCTGAGGACTGAATGGTTGGCCAGCCTAAATGGTCTGGTTTGTCTCAAGGTACAATGGTTGTTGCAAACACAATGTACACAGAATCAGTGTGGAATAAGATCCTCTAAAAGAGCCCTATTGAGTAATGAACTTTTCAGCCATCCAAAATTTGGCAAGCTGGATTTTTATAATTTGTAAAGAGTTGGCAGCCATGAAGTCCATTCCACATTGGGCCACTACTAAGGATATAATTCAACAACTATCCCATCAAATATTGCATAGACAAGCAATTTGGATCATTTAAATTGGAACACTAGGGTCCACTGTATCAGTTTCTGAATTTTGTAAATATAAATGTGCAGTTAAAGAGCCTGAAAGTCTTTCTTTATTAGATATTAACTAGGAATGTCAGCCTCCAGGTGGGACCTGGGGATGTCCCAGAATTATAGCTCATCTCCAGACTACAGAGATCAGTTCCCCTGGAGAAAATGGATGCTTTGTAGGGTGGACTCTGTGGCATTGTACCCCACTGAGGACCCTGTCCTTTCCAGGCTCTATCCCTAGATTGCCAAACATTTCACAACCTGGATCTGGCAACCTCAGTCTAAGACCTTGGAGACCTGCTGTCAGTCTGAGTAGACAATACTGATCCTGATGGAACAGTAGTCTGATTTAGTATAAGGCAGCTTTATGTGTTCATGTGTAGTATACAGCCTATAGATCGCATTCAGATATCACAAACCAACCACAGATTGTTCATGAGCAGCATGTAGCAACATCCCTGCACTTTCATGGCATAGTTGAAGACTTCGTAGTTTGTTGTTTAAAAAAAACCACATGCCCCTATGATTCCTTGTGACACTTGGATTCAAACCGGGATTAAACCATAGTTTGCCTGGTTACTGGGCATGTAGTTTGTTTCTGATGTCCAAATCCAGAAACTTGGCCTTTTAAATACACCACCACTTTAGATTTCAGCCCATCATTCCCATGACAGCCATTCCTCTGACTGAGAAGTTGTTGGAGGAGAAAAT